AGGAGAACACAATCTGCAGCCTGATCTGAGTGTGACACCTACAGTTAAGATTTTCTGCTTCGGCATCCCGCTCAGAAACACATCCAACAGCTGCCAGATGTGCTCCTAATGCAGGGAAGCCCCTTGAAGTTTATCAGGTAGCTAAACCACTGGCTGAACAGCTGGCATGTGTACACACACCGAATAGTGTGAAGAAAAATCATCAGTTATCAAGTCTGACACCACATCATTTAGAAGCGCATGAAAGCCAAGCAAACATTAACCCTGGTCACCGGCTGCATGCTTCAAAGCAAAAGATGTGGGCAGATATCTGGAAAATGTTCGGCTGAACCTCCCCCCCAGTCCAGCCACACATGAAAAGAACAGGGCAGACAGCCGGCAGGAGCTTCTTCCAAACTTAGCTTGGAGCCGTGCTAATGAGAAACTAGTTCCCCCAATGGTTGAGACCTGGTAGATCTGCAAAAATCACTCTCTGAAAATTGTAGGAAAAAAATGGCTTATCACATGTTTACGTCTCTAAAAACTATCAATCCTTGTCTTTCACGATAAAGAACAGAGGATGATGGCGTGAAAAACCTGCCTTCCCTTTAGGAAACACTTCTGTATAAATGGTTTAGAGATAGAAGGATGCCAAACTTTTTCTTTCACAGGACAAACTGCAGTGCTGACAGCTCATTTCATTATGATAGCAAAGCTTCGGTCTTTCTCTGGAGCTCTGGTTAGGAGTCCCACTGAACCAAACAACAAAATGTCATCGCAACCTCTGGGAAAACACAGGGACCGTATAAGCCACTGGCGCTCTGACCCCACGCTGCTGTCAGCATGGCCGTCTCGGCTGGAGACCTCATCTATGTGCCAATCAGCAGCGTTTTCTTCAACCTGCCGGCACCTCCGCGCTGCCTCCCCAACAGATTGAACATCTGTCTCCCATCTCAGAGGAAATCACTGGAGCCTCCGCAGCCTGAGAGGAGACTGACAAGTTTGTCGTGGTGTGTTGGCGCCCAGCGTGGCGTGAACAGAGAGGAGCGGCGGCAGCAGAACCATTCGAATGATGAACACATATGTTACCTAGAGCCATGTTGGAAGGGGGGGAAGCAAGGACCGAAACATATTTTACTTTGAAGGGATAGAAACGTTAGGACAAACTTTCAATTCTGAAAATCAAACAGTATTTTAGCATGAAACGGTTTCACAAATCTAAGTGAAAATATTTACTTGTCAGTCAGTGTTTTTAAAAGTCCAGAATACTTCCTTTTTCTTAGCAAATGGCCTCAAACAGGCTGTAAAACGCTCCATCTTAGCTGGTGGAGAAACGGCTGATGAGAGCCAAAGGGCTCCACGATCCTGAGACTCAGATTTATCAGAATCAGAATCACAATCAGAATCAGGTTTATTGCCAAGTAGGTTTTTAGACTTACAAGGAATTTGCCTCCGGATGACATCTCTGACTCAGAAAAATAGAACCCTTAAAAATTCAGTGTTTGATTCGGGGAATAGAATAATAGCTAATATTACATTTATTTCACAAATTCCTGCTCTCACACTGCGCTGCTTGTTTCCATTCAATACACATTCGCCTGATGGTGTTTTTAATCAAAGATCTCATGAATAAATAGTCTGACGCCATTCCATTATGTGCATTAATTCTGTTCATCTGCTGAAACTCAGACTCTAAAACAGCGGGATGCACCAAAAAGCACGTCTGCAGGACAGAAAAACCTCAAACGCGAGTCACAGACAGAGGGCTTTTCTTTTCCAACTCAGCCTTTCCTCTTCAGGCTCTGAGCTCCCTTCCACTAAAGCTTCTAACCTCTATATGCCTCAGTCACCGGCTACTTATTCAGGCTGAACGAAAACCAATGGCCATTCCAGCCAAACTGAAAGCGGGTGGCTTTTATTTCTTTCCATTTCCTCTCTATTTCGAATCTTTGCTCTGCTGCCTGCACTTTCTGCTGTAGAGGTGAACCTGGAAGCAAACTGGGGCCAAACGTGAGGATGGATTCAATACAGAAGCAGAATAAAGAGGTAATGGAGCTTTGAGCAGCCAAATCTAAAGACTGCAGGGTGGGTTGGGTTCTTGGCATGGGGTCACTGAGGTGATCGGGCCTGGGGGGAAGAAAAGCACCAGAGATCCATCCATCTGAGGGACAACCTGAGGCTACCAGGGCTTCAAATAAGCTTAGAGCGCCGGTCAGAGATGTGAACATTAAAATGAGAGACATGCCTAAATACAATTAAAGAGTAACAAACACTCATTCGCCTTCAGTTGTAAGAGATATGATGTTTTTGTATCATGTTGAAGTGATCGAAAGATTTGCTTCCCAAAAAAATGACAAGTAGAGTTTGACTGTCCAGCCAATCGCTGCAATGCCTGCACACATCCCAGGAAAGTGTCAGCAAAACACCTGAAGTTACTCTGAGAGTTCAATTCAGAGCAGAATTTGTATCAGGGAATAAGCAAATAAATTGTTGTGCCGTTTATTGGGGACAGAAGGGAACTTTCAGCTCCCTCTTCAATGTAGAACTGGTATCATGTTTATTGCCTCTTCTTTTCCCCTGAACACACCATCTTTCATCCCTTATGGATACTTCTCCTGCTTTCCAAAGGTTACAGCGGCGGGCAGTCTAAAGCCCGCTTCACAAAGCAGCCCCGTCCTCACATCAGGCCACACTGCTGTGGTTTCGGCTCGCATGTAAATGAGACACATGAGCACCGGCAGCTCCGCTCGTTCACTGCGCGTTTTAATTGGACTCGGTGGGACTCGGTGTCAGGCTGAGAACGGGAGACGGCGGCGGCTCCTCGGTAAACACCACTGATCTGATTCTGCACATGCACCGTCAGGGGTCAGGCTGGAGGAAGCTGATGGGGCCAATCATACGGCCGCCGCTCTGCGAAATGCCCTCCACTGTGCATGGACACCGCACAGTCAGGAAAAATGTGCATGTTCACTATGAAATGCAATCAAAGTCCAATAAAAAGTATGTTCTTGCTTCTAAAAAAATGCATAACTTAGTTACAGCACTTGTGGAGCTCATTAAAGCACAGTCAGACAGATCTAAAATATTCCATTAAGAAGTTTCCCCCTTAGAATATTCTGAGGGATATATAACTTATCAAAAAACAATCAAACCAGCCCACAACTCTAATTAAAAGTGATGGAAATATAGCGGCGATGTAGCCCCGCTGGCTGCTGAACAGCTTTGATTTGATTGGTTAAAAAAAAATAATACATCCAGGTTTAGATGATGTAAACATCAATGACGGCCTGTCTGGGGGGGGGGCACTTCAGCCACTGGTGGTCGACCATGTCAAATGGTCAAATACTCGCTGCCGTCCGCTCTGACCGTTCCGCTTCCAGCTGACCCCCCTGACGCTGACCTGAAGTGCAACGCACCGACGGGCTGCCTTAATGAGCCGGCCAGCCAGGTTCGTCATCAGAGGAAGTTTCAGCTCTTTGCGGTGAAGGTTTCCAGTCTTCTCTCTAAGGCTTGATGGCGCCCGGCTCATTAAAAGTGAAGCGTGAAGGGGGGGGCTGAATATCAGGCACTCCCAGCCAGAGTCGCTGCTCCAGTCTGTTGTCCAATTAAAACGGATAACGCCTCTGCAGAGGGGGTTCCTGCTTTAGGGAGCAGACTGAGCCCAGGCTCCTCAGGGCAAGATACTGGAATCACATCTTCCACCAGCTCGATTTGAAAAAAGGAAAAAAAAAACTAATTAAAAAGTCCTGTTGGCTTCCAAGCATCCTCCCTTTTGAGGTTAGGTTTTTCCAGGTGAGTGAAAATGCATTTTGGGCGTGTGCCTGCAGATAACCTTCGGATAGCGTTGACTCCCCGCTATCCAGGATCTGATCAGGCTGAAACTGAATCTGCAGCTTTGAAGCGTTAACAACCATCTAACACTGAGTTGGTGTGACTCAAGGGAGGACTTTAGCCGAATGAGTCAAACTTAATGAGCTCAAACTTCTCTGCTGGAGGCTCTACAATCTCCGCTCCGCTACATCAACACATTTGGGACATTTTGCGTGAACCATCTGGATTAATCATTCACGATGTCCCTCAGCAGAAGCGGTCTTTGTAAATCTGACCAACAAGGCTCTCACACCATAACGCGAAATGACCTTAAGAGGATTTTTAGCAGTTCAGCGAGGCTTTAAAAGTCTTAAAATATTTCAGTTTTTATACAGCAGCCATGCAAACATGATTCGACACACGATGAGGAACGAAACGGCCGACTGTTACACAACCATCCCCAAACAAAATGCTCCAAAACTAATGAGCGGCTCGCTTAGGATCTCATCTGTTGGGGAGGACGAAGTGGTTCTAGGTGATGATTGGCAGATGGGCGTGTACCCACGTGGAGACTCCCAACACCCTTGCTACTAGTCCACTGTTTTAGGTGCAACGATGAGTCAGTGGTCTGGTTCACAAAGAGACAGGCATTCTTTCCCCTCCCGACCAAACAGAAAATACCCACTGGTGACTCAAAGAGGAACTCTGCGCACATGCATACATGCACACCCATCCACACCCACTGGTGACGACATAAACATGAGAAGAAAAAAAACAAAGAAACACATGCCTACTGGGGTGGAGATAGTTTTGTATAGTGTTCAGATTCTGTCAAATCAATGGAATGCTTATCTTCTAAAAAGGCAGAAGTTTGTATCTTTGGCATTCACCACAGTAAAGCAACACATTTCCAAAGATCCTCAAACATGCTTTAAGGTAAACTCCTGGCTTGACCAAAATACAAAGAACGGCAGTTAACAGACTAACGACAGAAAAGGAGAGTCTCCTGTGACAAGATGGAAGTTTAACTGTTCATTTGAATCATATGAAACAGGAAAAATGTAAAACATGCAGGGCTGCGAGTTTGTTTGGTCAAAAGTGCAAACATCAGAGTGGGTTAGGACAGCCATAAAGCACAAGTCAAAGCAGAATAACTCATTTTACTTCCCTCCACATTAAGCTTCTCAAAAGCTTCAAGATGAGAAACGCACCGTTTTTCTGCAAGTTTCCGTCTGCAAAGAGCACAGAATTGATGGACTCTGCAAAATCATTGTGCAATAAATTGATAACAATATATTCTTATGCTAAAATAAACACTTATTTACACATAGCGCAATTTGTTCAAAGAGATGGGAGAAAAATACGGAGCACTGTTCGTCCCAGCCAGACCCTAACTTTGATCCCTTATGAGTGGCAACATCTATTTACCTGTGCAGCCATTAATCCTTAACAGTGGCTGAATCCAAAACTATAAATATAACATTCCTCACATTCCATATGATGCCATTTGCCAACGTCAACTCTCCCCGAAGACTTGGCACTGGCTTGGAATGTCCAAACTGTGTCTGTCATTTGTTCTGTCAGGTATGAGTGCGGAGATTAATTTAATTTGGTGCTTTAGCACCTGAGACGGAAAGACTAAAGGCCATGGACACAAATCCCAGGAGAAATGTATTTTCATTGGAAAATGACCAGCACAATTAAAACAGCAACATATTTCCAGTCGTGTCCACTCATGAACGACCTTACAATTCCTTTGAAATAACAGAATTCAGGGTAAACCCAGCAGTGTTCACCTGTGAGCCAACAGGTCTCCATTGAGTCTAAACTCCACCCAATCCTGCCTGAGCCCAACAATGAAATCACCTGCTGCGGTGACAGAAAGGGCGGATGGACGACGGTTTGCACCTGGGCTGGATATCGGTCAGCCGTCGGCGCGCCGCACGTGCCCCCACGGAAAATGACCTTTGACCTGCGTGGTTATTTTCTCACCTTGGGCGATGGCAATGGACTCGAAAGTCTGCAGTTCCTTGAGTAAGCACGTCCTTTCGTTCGGCTGAAGGCGGTAAATAAACTCTTTGGCCCCCTTGGGGGAATGGAGCGGCTCCCTCGGCTCGTTTCTCCCATGTGTCCCCATCCGGCGGAGCGGGTTCCCCGGCAGCCTCCACGCTATCGGCAGCCCCGGAGGAGCCAGCCCCGGAGGAGCCAGCCCCAGTCCCGGCGGGAACTTCAGCACAGCCGGCCGAAGAGCTCTCTGTAGGCTAACCTTAAACATCGTAGCGGAGACTTAAAAAAAGAAAATGTCTGTCTATACCATGTAAAAGCTGCTTTTTCGGAAGGGGTTTCTAAAGCCGCCCTACGCCGTAGCACCCCCAACGGCTGGCGCTCGGGCACAAGTTGGCTGTTTCGACGGTCCAACTAGCCAGACTGGACTTCAGTGGAGAACAAAGCGGTTAATTTTAAAAACTACCTCTGTAAAGCCCGACTTATACTTAAACGAGTGGAGCATATTCTCTTTCCGCGTTGCCCTCTGCCCCAACCGTCTCATGATCTTTAGAAGACTCCGCGGTCAGGAGTTTGGCTCATGAAGTTGAGGCTACAGTCTCTACCGAGAGAAGGGTGCGTCAAGCCAGCGGCCGCAAAACAGGAAACGCCCCAAATTAGCTTTCAAAATAAACTCGACTGTTTCCGGTGAAAAACTTTCATGATAAATCAAGACTAAAAACTGCAAAAACGTTCTAATGCAAACGAATAAAACTTACAAAAGTCGTTCTATAAAATACTCCAAGCACGCAAAGGCCCAAAAGTATGATAATTTAAACTCACATAGATTGAAGAAGCGTAAAGATCCTTAAATGCCTCAGCTGACTGGTCTGAGACTTCAAAACTGTGCAGTTAGGTTGCTGCAGTGTATATCTGTAAATAAGCATACATTTAACTGTTAAAAACCTCTTGTATATTTTTCTGTAATTTCATAAAAGGTTAAGTTTGTAAGTTAACTTCATATATGAGGTGCATATTTATTCCATGCCTAATTTATTGCATACATTTATTTGTAGATTATTATGAGAACAAATCATTTTATCCCCCATTGAATTCAGTGATAAGCACTGACATATTACAGGGTGAGAAAATGAGAACAAACGCATTTAGCTTTATGAGATCACAAAGAAAATGTGCACTCTCAGCTGGTGGAGCAAGACAACAACATTCCCACAAGTGAGAGCTTCAATTGACATGAACAGAGCCTCAATGAAACAAGAGTCCAAAGCGGAATATCAAAGATGATTTTATTTACATAAATCTCTTTTTAAAACAAAAGGCAAAATGAAAAGCTCTCACCTTTTAAAAAGCTTTCTGATCAATCTAATCACGTCCTTCATAGTCGATGCATCTCAAAACAAACAGCTTGCCCATCAAGCTAAAACAAGATTCTTTCTCACATTGGCCACAGCTTATTTTGTGCAACCAGTAAAAACAGTAATGAGCATGAGTTTGCAGTCAAACCCTCAAAACATTCAGGCTTTTGGAAGCCTTGACTTAATACTCGAAGAATTGTGCTTGAAAGCATATTTTTTAATAAAGGGCTTAATAGTGCCATTACTGAGGGGCTTATGTTGGCTGGACTGAACTGTAGTTGAAAAAAAAAAACATCACTGATATATATTTTCTGTTTTCTGCTAGTATTTTTTGGTCAACAGGACTACATCTGGATAGCAACAGAGCACCACTTCTTGCAGCTCTGAACAACAACAAATGACAGATTTAATTCAGCCAGTGCCTCTGTAACCTAAAAAAGTGACTGCTTGAATATTGTACTTTTCAAAGCCTAGCATTACTTCATCATTGAAAGTTTTTATTCCAGACATGCAGCAGGACCCTGAGACAAGCAGCAAAGTTCGTTACAGTTGTTGCCCCTTTGAAATGCTCCTGCCACTGATCGGAAAGAGTTTGCTATTGACTTACAGGACCAAATTTTTTAATTTACCAACATGTAAAATCATAATACTATTAAATAATACAGCAAGCAAATTTTTCTTTTTTCAGTTGTTCTAATTTAGCTTTCGCTGCCCCTTTATTTGCAGTCTTCTTACAGCCATTTCAGGGTTTGAGAGGAAAATGTATGCAAATAAGCAAGCGAATTTATGTGACGAGCTGTGTGGGAATACCATTAGTTAAAATAAATCATTCTGAACCTCTGAACTGAAGGAGAAAAGGTGCACGTGTTTGTGTCATTACAAATACACAAGCAAACACAACAGTAGTAATTATTGACAGAGGTATATCTGCAATTACAGTAGCGAGTCACTCCTTAGCCAGACCGACCTCTCTGTCCGACTCTAATTGGGGCAGAGTTGATTTTTTATCTTTTTGATTTAAAAACTGCTTCACTCGTCTGCCTTTTTCCTCCTGGACTACTTCACAAATACTCAATGTGCACTTGTTAAGGACAAAAATCTCAAGAACATCCCAAAACCTGAGCTGTGATCAAACTGCACATCAGGACTGCTTTGAAAATACATGAAGTTTTGAGTGCACACATAAAAAAAACAATACACAGGAAACATTGTGCAACTAAAACACAGTTAACTTTAGTTTTTTTTTTTTTAGATCAATCATGTTAAGTTAAGTGAAAGGAGGTTTCAAAGGTAAGTGTAGAAATTTAAGGAAAGTGTTCACTCAAAACCTGTGCAAACGTCAAAATCTTGCAGTTTAACCCGAGCTCAAATCTCTTTAGTTGCTCAACGGTAGTGCCATCTTAACGCAGGGAAACAGAGATGCCACCTTTAAGACACTGTCTAAGCACATTATATGTCGGCAGGCATGCACGCAATCACACATTCTCTAAACACACTTAAATACACTGTAGGGCTGCATGAGAAGACAGCAAGTCTGAGGTCCTCTTTCTTTTTACCCCACTCATTGGAGTGGGGGAAAAAAAACCTTCCAACACAACCTCCACGAGGCAGAATTTCCCAAGTCTGGTGTTTCAATTTTCAAGGCGAGTGTGCACAGACTGCTGTGCTCACGTTGGAGTTAATTTATCTGGTTGTCCAACTTCTTTTTTTTTCTTTTTTTTTTTTTTTACAGACAGAAATGTAAGTTTTGGTCTACATCACACAACCCCAGCCCGCACACTTGCACTCGACAGACAGAATGAGAGCAGCTTTTACTCTTACCACAAGCCCTTATAGAGTAAAACTCAGAATCAAATAAAAAGAAACTAAGAGGAGAGAAAATGACATCCCTGACAACTTTCAAGAACAAATTAAGATGCTGAAGTCGTTTAATCATTTTTCTTAACTTAAATATAATAAAGATATATGTATATATATTTTTTTTTCTATAGATCTTTTACTGTCAGTCCTCAGTGGAGTCTGTGTCATCATTGATATAGTCTTCTTCTATTGGCATGCTGCCATTCTGAGTCCCCCACTCGTCTTCGTCGTACTCTATGCTGTCGTTGTCCTCCAGCAGCTCGTTGTCCGGCTCCGCCGCCGCTCCCGCGGCGTGCGCGCCACCGGCCGCCCCGTTGGCCAGCAGCTCGGCCACCGGCTGTCCGTTCGGCTGGTTCTGGCCCGGCTCGGGCGGGCCGGCGGCAGCAGCGGCGTCCTGCGGCGCTGCGTAGCCCCCGTTGTTGTTGGAGAAAGCCGCCCTGTCGCGGCCCTCGTCCTCCACGTAGACCCGCTGGTGGCACATGGGGCAGGTGTCCTGGATGTAGAGCCACTTCCTCAGGCACAGCGCGTGGAAGTAGTGGTGGCACGGCGTGAGGCGGGCCGAGGTGGCGAACTCCTGGTAACAGATGGCGCACACGTCTTCGATGTTGCTCAGCTGGTCCCCGCGCACCTCCGGCAAGGAGTTGATCTTCTTGACGGCGGTGCGGCGGTTGATGAAGGTTTTCCAGCCGTTCTTGGCCTGCAGGTAGATGTTGAAGTAGGCGTGCAGGCACATCATGCACGCCCGGATCTTACTTCCCGACTCGAACATCATCGTGTAGGCGCCGTTCCCGAACATGATGACGCCGAACAGGAACTCGATGATGTTGCCTGTGGAGCGCACGTAGTAGACGTAGTCATCCAGCTTCTCCCACAGGATGTTGGAAAAGCCGTCAACCATGAAGAGGCCGTAGACCGTCAGAGACACCACCACCTGCAGGGAGACGGGTAGAAGTGAGGGGAAATACTGGAGCAATCTCTTATGTCTCGGGTCCTTTCTCAGTTTACATTTACCCTTTAAATATATCATCTGAACCACTGGTTAAAATAATTTCATCATTTGTGTGTTTCGTTATGCAATAGTGTTAACAGTTTTACTCGAATGAAATCTGGTTTTATTGCAGAGTAACAAACCTTTTACCAACTGGACTGTTGTGGGAAATGAGTGGGGGTGGGTTAAAGAGCTGCTATAAAAGGAAATGTACATGGAACTTTGAAGCTAAGTGAATTATATTCAACTCAAACATATCTGAGTATACACCACATACTAAAGAATAAAAGAAGAACCAAAACTTAGCTGATACAAAAATAACTAAATGATCTGTTCTGAACAGAACTGGTCCAAAAGGTTTTTGAAAACTAGTCCCACTAAACCAACAACAACTTCAGCCTTCAAGAGACGTCAAAGAAACAGATTTTCTTTTTTCCTTTTTTAAAGAGGAACTGTGAAACTAAACACACAAACCAACATCAGGTGAAACAAACAACAAAACAAATATCCTCCCACAACCTTGCATTAAACATCCACCTGTGAGTCTTTAATCCTACAAGTTTCTCTCCGTTTTCTGAGCTCACCTTCAGGCAGAGTTCCACACAGAAGGCGGTGACGGCGAAGAGCCAGGTGTTGAGGGCGTAGTGGTGCCAGAGCGCGTAGCTGAGCACCACGGGGAGCACGAAGAGCGCCAGGGACACCAGCAGGACGGGGAAGTGGCGGCGAAACGAGGAGACGTGCGAGGCGCTGAGGGACATGAGGACGGGGTCGGTCATGCCGTGAATAAAGTGCAGGATGGCCGTCAGCAGAAGGCACATGTTTCGGCTCAGGCGGACCTTTGGAGCGAGAAGGGAGACAAGACAGGCTCAGAATGGACGCCGTGGCAGAAGCGCCTTTCCCCCCCCATTACAGAAAGTCACCATACAAGAGATTTTGTGGGATGCCACCTACCAGACGCTCCTCTGGGTCCAGGCTGCTGAGGCCAGTCTGCAGAGCCAGGATAAAGAACAGAACGGGAGCCACAAAACCCAAACGCTTGTCCTCCTCCTCGGTTGAACCTGAAGGTTAAAACGAGAAAAAACCCTCAGACGAGCTCTTTCCATTGAGAATTCTGCCGAACACACAAAGATGCCCATTATTCATACCTATGAAAGCCAGGATGCTGAGGCCCAGGTAATGGGCCACAGAGGAGATGACCGCACTCATGCCCAGCACCGTGAGAGTGGAGTCGCAGCCGGAGATGATGAGGTTGCTGGTCAGATCCCAGAAAACGTCCCAGCTGAGCAGGTAGCCCTGAAGAAAGACAGAGGCCCGTTTTGAGCTAAACTCATACAATATCTGGGGTCAAAGAGATCCCTGAGGTTCAGTTCTTACCTGTGAATCTGAGCTCCCATCGGCGGCCCCTCCCGTGGCATCACCACTCTCCCTTCTCACTGCGCGCACCACGTAGACCAGTATGAGCGCCTGGACGGTGACCCGGGTCAGCCAGAACACTCGCAGCACATCGGGGAACCTGATTCTCTTCCACGTGTCCTCTAGCAGCAGCTGCAGTCCATAGATCCGGTACATGTGTCGCACCAGCAGGTAGACGTACCGGCACGAGTAGTAGAACCACTTGAGCCTCATGGCCAGACAGACGGCCGTGTTCAGGGCCAGCGCCAGGCCCGAGAACACCGCCACCACCTGCCTGACGTCGGCCGGTAGCTCGATCATCATCCCCCACAGAGGGATCATGATGTCCAAGACCACCAGCGCGGCAAACACCGACTGGAGGTTCAACAGGAACACGTAGCCCACGCCAAAGAGCAGCTGCACGGCCGCCATGCCCAGCCACAGCGTGGGCCCGTTTCTGGGCAGCAGCCTGAACCCCAACGCCGCCTTGTAGTACGCGCTGTAGAAATCTATGTGCGAGGTGGCGTAGTAGTTTATGAGGACGGCCGCCATGCCCAGGAGGACAGCAAAGAAGAGCGTGTAGAACTTGAACAAGGCTTTCTGGGAGAGCAGCAGCACAACACTGGAGATGAGGACACCTGAGACAAGAAAATAAAAGAAAAAAAACAGACAAGAGAGTTAATGAAAATCAAGATAGAAACAAATTGGCATTTATTGCAACACCAACACAGAAGCTTTGACGAAAGCGTTTAGTTATAACCAAGAGGCTTTGATGGAGAGCAATATCAACCTTTGACCATCTTGCATGTAGAGTTCACTGACCTACAGGATAAGTTTGCAGGTAAATGTTTTTACTTTCCGTTTTGGTCGTTATGACTGGGAATTTTTTCTCTTATTCATCTTTTTAATTCCTACTCTCTGTCTTTGAGCAGATATGCATCAAAGAAAACTGAACTGTTGGCTAGTCAAACTTTGTGTCCTAACACCCATCATTACAAATCTATGTTCAGAGGTCTTCAACGAGTAAAAAGTTACATAACTCGGTAAAGACTTACCCTTTAGAAACGAAATTTAATTTGTTATCAGAGTAAGTTTTCATGAACTATGACTAAAAGGATAAGAGCAACCCAAAGATACATTATCCTTAAAGCCAAGAAAGTTCTCAATAAGACAGATCACTGTGTTACTATGAAGGAGTAAAGAAACAGAGTTCATAAGGAAGATGATAAGGTGACAGAAAGCCCTTACGACGGGCTATTTGAGGACATCGAACGAATTTCTGGCGAGGATACAAAAATTAACGCGACACCTGTGACTACACACTTAGTGTTAGCGGAGGCAATGAGGGGTAATAACGTGTACGCATCCCCCTCAGAATGAATGAGGAACTCATAAAGCAGTGTGTCAAAGGGATTTGACGGGCATCTCTTTTACTGCCGGTAGGTAAATCGGCTTTAGTCGGTCTGTCAAGCGACGGAGCTTCAAGGTGTTGGCTAACTAGCTTCAGCTAGCCAGCTTAGCTTCCAGCTCCTGACGTCCTTGTTGACAGTCTTCTGGACTTCACACTGCTCGTACAGTAACTCACCCGTGACTCTGACCAGCACCTTTCCCATCGCTCCGGCCCATCCTGGTCCAGGGTCGTAATAAGAGTTAAAAATTGCGTCGATAATGAAAATACAGGGAACTCGCAGAGCCACATCCAGCACCGCTAAGGCCTGCTGGCCTAACCGGGCTTGCGTGGAGGCCATACGGCTTTGGTGGAGGGCTTTCTGTCCCGGTCAGCCCCAGCTATCCATATAACATTTAACTATAATCGACTCCACCAAAAGTCGTCCCTTCTTCTTCGGCTCCGTCTGACGTTTAGGGGGTAGCTGGCGACCTGCTGCGGCTAGCCATGTTCGCCCAGCTCAACCTCCTGTTGCTTCCTCTGATTCTGTCAAATATGAAGCCCCAGCTCCCGGCCAGAGCCCGGGGCTTAAACTAAACGGTGCTCCATCAGATCTTGTCGCAAAACACAAAACGTTATCTTTGAGAAGGCTATTTCCTCATGGCGTTGGGTTAGGTGGGTACAACTGAAGTTGCTAGGTTGTTGGAAAGTGACGCAACGTAACTTCCAACGTCTGTGGGTGTGACAGCTGACGTAACAGGTTTCACATTACAATTAACTTTTTTTTTTTTTTTACTAAACTTAATGTTAAATCCATATTGTTTTTCTTTATTTTTATTATATATCACTATATTTTCCATACGTTTTAAAAAGTTGAAAATTTCACAACATAAGAAATCAAATCACTCAGCTCTTTCTGGAGATCTATCCTATATGTTTTGGGTAATTTCAGCTCTTTTATTTTCTTTTCATTTGTATTCTAAATTAATAAAATATCTGAACTTTTTTATTTCCTAAAATGGCTGAGATTAGCTTTCTGAAAGTAGCTTTTCTTTTAAATTCAAAGATGAATTCCTTTAATAAATCAATTTGTTTTCAGGTATTTATTCAGTTAAGGGAGGTCCATGCTTTTTTATCCTACATATTTAGCATTGGACCTGTCCAAAGCATACTCTGCCTCTTGCCCAATGTAACCCTACTAGGAATAGGCGGTATGGATAATGGATGGATGGATTTTGTATTGATTATTTATTATAGTTCCCTGATCAGCCACAATATTAAAATCAATCAAATATAAAGTGATTACCAGTGTTCTCATGGCAAAGTTCTGCTGTGCAAACCTGTATCCAGGCATTCTTTCACATACCAATCATTATGGCAACAGCCTGTAACCTCCTTCCCCCAGCAGAGGATAGTTGGGGGGGCCATAATATTTATTTGACTTCCAACCTCCCTAGGAACTAATCTGATCCGATCTGATGACATCTGTGGGAGGCAAATCAAATCCACAAAGACCCCACCCAGCAATCCAAAGGGCTAAGAGGATTTATTGTGAAAACCCCCACATCAAACACTCCAAGAAACCCTCTGATAATTTATATCAATGTCCTGACTGATGCCATGTTTTGTTCTACAAAAGCGCATGCTCATAATTCTTATTGATGTATGTATATTCCATATTATGTGTCCATACCTGTTGCCGATTAAAAAAAAGAGAAAAGTGTTGTCATTAAAGAAATGGAAGAGGTGAAAATATCAGAAGACATTTTAATTCAAATTCTTCTGAGTATGTCACGAGCATTCACTAAAGCATGTCAAAGCCATGTTTCCCAGTTCTTTTACATCAGCTCGAGCTGAAGAAGACCTTGATTGTGTTATTGTAGATTGTGTTGGCGAGCTCCAGTGGATCCTCTTCCCTAGCGGCGGCCATCACCTCAAGAACTTGTCTATAAAAGACAAAAAGTGACAAACATGTCGGTTAAAAGTATGTTGCTCATGAATTAAAGAAAAAAGAAAACAAATTCTGACACAGCTTTTGCCTCCTTGGGTGCCCCTTAAGTTACTCACATGATATGACATGGTTCATTCCTGTCCTTCAGACAGTGTCCTGCCTCCCATTTCTTCTTGGTGGGAAACGTTGTTTTAATGTGGCTGGAACCTGCATGTGTGTTCTTTACACCACACCATGGAGCATCTGAGGGGCGCATGAAGGTTTAAAATAAAACACAGAAATAAAAGCAATAAAGATTGTGACCTAGCAAACACAAATGTTGTCATTTTATCATTTTAAAGAATGTTGATCCACAAATTCAAATGGGTTACATCTCCACAAAACGTAGCCATTTGTGTCTAATCCCATGGCATCCACCATGATTTCAATCATCTTTCAACAAATCTGTTTTTACTCACCTGTTTCTATCATGAGCCTCTCAGTAGGGATAGACTTCATAGCTTTAATATTGGCTTCTGTTTTCAAGGAGCTGGAAAAAAAAGGAATTATTCTATTGTTGCATGTGGTTGGTTCACCAAAACCTTAAATACATATTGTCTGTAAGAAAAATCTTGTATGGTTATAGAGTCCCAAAAGCATTTGTGATTCAGGTGAGGACTTCTATTTGAGTTCAGTGTAAAGACAAAAATAACTCTTGCTTTAAAATCCTCTCACCATCCATTTATTCCAATGTAAAGGTCCAGGTCAATGAGAGCGGCAGCCTCTTCCGCCGTCCCATCAAAAGAGTGGACCTGAGGGCAAAAGTAAAGGTGATCACTAGGAGTCAGAGTCTGGTTATATAAAGTATAGAATAAAAACGAAGGTATGGGATCACAAATCTTTCATATTTATGAAGATCAATATGAAAAAAACGTGTCCTCACCACTCCTCCAACACACCGGTCTCGATTCCTTCTCATTATCTCTGTCAAAAAGGGAACGAAATAAAAAGAAAAAACATATAATATTTATCTGAAAGACATCATCCTGAGCAACTTTCTCATGTTTACGGCTCAAACGCACCGATGAACTCCACGTGGGAGTTTCGACAGTGGAGGAACATGGGAAGCTTGGTCTCCTCTGCCAGGTCAAACTGCTTTTCAAAGTACCTGAGGCATATCGGGGGAGCAATAAAAAATACTGTATTAAAAAGATGACTATAAATGAATATAGCCCAACATAATGATAATGGTAGCAAATGCCATTTAAAGTTAAAAGTTGATCAGTAAGTGTTTTTATCAGAAATGTTTAAATAAAAAATAAAAAATTATATACAAACTTACTTTAGTTGAGTCTCTTTTGGGCAAAATTCCAACCTGTCGAAATCTGGGAAAAGAGAGACAAGGGAGCAAAGTACCATCATTTTCTGAACAGCGTACACAATCTGAGGGTATGGAAAGATTTCAAACATCTACGAGGGCTTTATAATGGATGTCTATAGGTCTATAACTGTACGAAGGCAGCACTGTTGTGTTTACACACCCAGTCCACACTCTCCGATGGCCACCACCTTCCCTTTGTGTGCTGATGACAGTTCTCTCAGACCCGAGAGGTACTGGGATTCTCCGGTCTGTTCAAACTCTGTGCAGCGGGTGGGGTGACAGCCGACTGTGCAATAGAACTCGTCTGCAATAAAGGTGCAAGTCCATTATAGAGCTTGAAATGTCCACGTTTTAGGAAGCTGTAACATTGGTTTGCCTAACTATGATCTTATGAATGACAAACTTAAATAAAACAAAAAAAGTCATAATAAATGTATATATTTGATTTAAAAAGAGACCTCAAATCTATTTATTACTTATAAACTCACTTGCTTTGGTAATGTCTTTTTAATCATTACCTTTGGTTTCAGATAGTTTTAGGGCTTCCTTGCTGTCTTTGAGGCTCCCCCCAGTAATTATAAACTGTAACAAATAAAACAAATATCAATCTACTTACAAATATATTAATCTAAAAAGGGTTTCATGAAATATTCAACTAATTCACTTAAAATAAACTGCATCAGATTTCTTAGTATTTCTCCCTTTTCTTTTTGATCTAGTTTCTAAAATCTATTCACTAGCTGTTGAAAGATTGTGCTGCAATTATTCATGGATATTTGGGAATAAATCTATGAAATTCAAGACTTGTTTGAACAGATGTTTTAAATTATCATTTTGTCACCAGCTAATTGGTCACTTTATTAGGAAAACAAAAAAAATCTTCAGAATTGATTTAAGTTATTGTTTCCATGATTAAAACACTTGTTACTAAAACCTCAGTCCAACACATGCACATACATTAAGGTGGTCAGAAAGTGTTATACCTTCTCAACTCCTACTCTGAGAGCTCTGTCGATGATCTGATCAAAGTCATCTGGAGGAAAAAACGCATATATGAGGTAAGCTTTTATCAGCATCTCATTATTGTAAATAACAATCAACAATTGGCTCACCATCATGTTTCTGTTTCCCTCTGTAGAGTCCTCTAAACATGGGATCTGTCAGGTTTATACCAATATCTGCAGAAGACATGGTTGGGATTTATGTAAAGTGTAAAATGTCACTATTAGAGATATGTTGTACCTCTTATTATAAAGAACTGTGGAACCAAATTCTGCCTCTTTACCTTATGATATTTAAACAATGTTATGCAACATGGTCAACAAATCATACAAACCAAGACAAGCCAAGAAACTATTTTGAGTTAAGTATATATGAACAAAAACCCAAATGCTTTAAATTGAGACAATGAGGCAAAATAGAATATTATTAGCACATACATTTTTTTTCATGAAAACCATGGCACCGTAGAGTAAAACACATAAACAGACAGACCAATGATAGCAAAACCAAAACGTTTGACATAAAAACCCAAATCGCTTATGACTAAGAGATTAAGATTGCTCCTTTTACATCATTTTAATTATGCTGGCGCAACTAAGGAGATCAGGTATGCTCAATCAAAAACAGAGAGCCTGAAATGTTTGCAGACCTTAAACATGGCTAATTTTATAGCTTCCGTGCTAACTAAAAACGAACAAACATTTCTTAATCTCAAACACCACCAAGGTTTGACAGTGGGTATCCTCTACTCCTGTGCTTAGAATACCGAACATACATCTTTTAAATATCATACCAATGAATCTATGCTTTGCCATGGTTGTAATACTTCTTGTTAGAACCACACATGCAGTCTTCACTAGTCCCATAATACCGTAATACCTGGGCTACAAACGAATAACGTTGTTGGGCTAAATTGTTGGTTTGCAATTATCTATTATTCAGTTAGACACTGTAGAAAAGTGTTAACTTGACTTAAGACGAATAAGATTATTATATGTGTAACGTTTAACACAAATGCATTTGAGTTTGATTAAAAAAGAAAAGAAAAGAAATATTTGTGCACGCTGTTTTAATTTTACGGTCTTGACGTCAGAACATGTCCCATAATTCCTCGCGTCGTTCTGCGAGAAGGTGACAGGGGACGGCAAAAATGGCCTCTGCTTATCTTACTCACCAGCAAAAAGTGCTGCGGCTATACAAGAAATCACTGAGGCACCTCGAGTCATGGTGCATATTTAGGTAAGGGGACGTCGGCATTTAAGTGATTTGATTATAATTGGGGGGGGGAAACAGCTGCTGCTCTGATGACGTTGAACTGCAGTGCTGCTAAGCTAATAGTTAAGCTAACGGCTAGCCGTTGTTAATCAGGTCACTCACACCAGAAGTTTGATACCACCTCAATGTTTTTGTTGTTGTTTCGGTTCTAATTACTCAATTGGAATATAAATATAGCCACGGCTATGCCAATAATGAATCAGCCAGTTTAAATGCTCAAATACGGGCAATCTACTCTACTCTGCATGTAAGGATCTGGCACCAGCTTGCGTCAAACTTTCTCTGATATTGACACGGTTTAAGAAATCTAAAGGAAGTTTTGCTTTTTGCATCGAATCGTATATTACTGTAGTTCATAAGACCAATAACTACGATTTTAGCCCCGTGTTGAAACACCAAGTTCATTTATATTTAGCACAACTAATTAACAGTAACAGTTCAATGACAGACGTCAGCGTTCCTGTTCAGGAATGTTTCAGGTCAGTTGTGATGCCTTTAATGGCTTAGTTCCAAAAGTGTTTACGTTTCTGTTTGATTTAAAGATTATTCAATGGTAGTTTTACATGAATGAATATGTTTCCATTGAAATTTTTGACATTGGAGTTGCCTCTGGCAAATACAAAATAGAATAGTATTAAAATAGTATGTAACCTCTACACATTTAACCAACTGCAACATGGATGATTTGTTTAAAATCTCTTAATCTGGTTCTGGGTCCAGTACAGTCAAAACCACGGGACTTACTTTAAGGTGAATGTTTGTCTGTAAAAGTTAAATGTGAACGAGACACCTCTTTGAGACACCTTACTCACTCACACTTTAACAGAAAAAGAAAGTAGAAGTAGTTTATTTTTACATGTCCTAAATTTGCGTAGTTTCTTCCATTGTTCTGGATCGATGGAGTTAAACCCATGTCTTGTTGTCCTGCCACAGAGATAAATACCGTTTCTATGCCTGCATGCTGCGGGCTCGCTTTGATGAGAACAAAGATGAGAAGGACATGGTGAAAGCAACCATGATGCTGAAATCAGGAGAGGAGGAGTTCTGGTCCAACCAGCATCCCCAGCCCTACATCTTCCCCGACTCTCCTGGGGGAACCTCCTATGAAAGATATGAGTGCTACAAGGTGAGGCAGGACAACAACAAAACCTTTTTTTAATGGATTTATATGGAAAATGACTGCTTATGTATCATTATGTCAGTATTATCCTACTGATAAACTATTTATACATTGAATCAGAGGTATTCAGTCGAGTCCTCATTTAATTTAAATAACTGACAGTAATAGCTTATAAACCTTGTGAGATTATGCTGACGGATCTATTGCTGAACAGAGATGTTTACACTGAGCTCTGCTTTGTTCCTGTAGGTCCCAGAGTGGGTGTTAGACCACTGGCACCCCTCAGAGAAATCCATGTATCCTGACTACTTCTCCAAGAGGGAGCAGTGGAAGAAGCTGAGAGCGCAGAGCTGGGACAAAGAGGTAAGAGGAGCTGCAGATTACAGCAGAAAACAGCAACAAATTCTTTAGTTGTGTAACTTTTGGATGAATCTGTACATAAATTGGAGGGACTTAGAAGTTGGTCTACATTTACTTGTCTTTAACATTGTTTACCTGGCTTTCCTGAACCTCTGATATCATTTTAAACCTAAGTCTGTCCAAATATGAAATGGCATGCAAACCCAGAACAAAGTAGATATTCACCGTGGTCTGTTTCCTTCCAGGTGGCTCAACTGGTGGCTGAGACTCCAGCTGCAGGCCCCAGGACCGAAGCCCTCCCTCCCGCCCGCAAGGAGGGGGACCTGCCCCCCCTGTGGTGGCAGTATGTCACCCGCCCCAGGGAGCGCCCCACATAAACACTCTACCTCTCCTGGGCATAATCAGTCCCACAGTTTAAGAGGAAACTACCCTAACCACACAGCGACCACCACCTGTCTGTTGAGTCATTTCTGATGATGTCCACCTGTGCTGGAGGCATGACGGCAAAAACAACATGGCGGAATTCTGGGACTCTACAGTTGTTCGGTTCAGGTGACGGCTGACTCAGATAAGTCTTGTAGATGTTCCATTTAATAGAAATAATAAATACATGTATGAACAACGTCCTGCGTGTGTGTATGCATTATGAACAACAAATATCCTCTAACACAATGCTTAACTTTGGCATCTGATTTTTGTCATTACAAAGAAGAAAAAAATTGAAAATTTGAAACAAGTTAATCAATGACAAGTGTTTTATTTCAGTTGTTTAAATTCATTAATGTAAAGTACTGTTGCTAAAAACAACTTTTTCCTGACCTGCAGAGGTTTCAAAGAAAGGGTTTGATTCTCATTTGCTTTATAGCTACAAATGATACCCAGAACTCGTGTCCTGAAAGCTGCGGTCAGTAACACGATGGCATAAAAACAGTGAAACTCAGTCTTCCCTCTGGTTTTATTACATTCCTTTTGAATATGATTTTTGGAAGTTATGGGACACTGAAAGATGGCTGACGGCTCCTCCATGTACAGATAAGAAGAGAAAAAAACAAGCCAGAACTGGTTCACATAGAGCCACAATGGCATCTACCTGATTAATGGCTCTTTAAGGCTGCCCCACAGTGGCTAAAAGTCCATTTACCAAAAAAAGTAGCTTCCATCACTATGGCGAATGGCGTGGTCTGAAGTTGCGTGGTCGTATCATCATGGTGACCGCCTTCAGAGAATAGAAGTCTGAGTCCTTCCAGGAGAACCACACGATGCCGTCCGGCCCCAGCAGGTTGTGAGCCCTCAACGCGTAGCGCCCTCCCTGTGGGAAAGGCACACCCAGCATCTGGCATGTCAGCATCCCCTCCATCTCCTCCATCTCCCTCATCTTTTAGCTGCATGGAGCTTGAACAAAAACACAGTTCTGCCGTGCGTGGCTCTGCGCGGCCGTACCTTGTAGTAGACCCCGTTGAGGTTGGCGTAGAAACACTGGTGGAACCACCAGCCCGCGTGGCTGATCTCAGCACAGATGTTGCCCGTGTCCGGCGTGCTGAAGCCGTGCTGGTCGTGATACCAACCGAACGAATCCTCCACCGTCCCGCTGAAGCCAGAAATGTGGAGGCGGTACTGGTTCTCCTCATCGTCTATCCTGCACCAGGAGCACAAGACACCACAGCCTGGATGAGATTAAGGTTGCAAAAAAAAAAAAGAAAGAATTCTTCTAAATTAAATTATGTAGTAAAATCACATGAAATTACACCCAAAGCTTCTCAGCATTAACAGCTACTCCACACAGGTTTGTCAAAAGGTGCCATGTAACTCTACATGTTTTGGAAAAGTGGACTTCAGACCACAGAGAAACCAAATAAACTCCCAATCTCAGTTGTAAAAACCCTTTAGTCATTTCGATTAACCCAAAATGTTTTTCATCGGTTACAAGATATATAATGTCTTGCATAACGATCCGCCATCATGTAGTTGTACTTGAAATTAGACGAATAAATCCTTCTAATCTCTTTCCATAAATCCCATTTTAGAGTCTGAAAACCACATTATTTTCCCCCAAACTTGGAATACCTAAAAAGAAAGAACACCAACCATGTCACCAGCAGAGGAACTGTATCTCAAAGGGACAATGGGAAATGGAAAACTTTCCAATCCATCTCTATATAGCCGTCTGTGCTCCCTGGCTAATATAATTCAGCTGAATAACCTGTGATTAAAAAAAGTTCAAATGAAGTTAAGCATCCCCTTTGGTGATTTGGTAAAGGAAATGATAAACCAGATTAAACAGCATCTCAGCTACTCACCTGGCTGATGATTATTAGATGCAATAATTGTTGGATTCTTTTTAGAGACTGGGGACTATGAATACAGACAAAAACAAGGAGCAACAAAACCAAAGCCATCCTCTGACTAAAAAGCCACAGTTTTAAGAATGTACCCACCAAACAACCAGAAGCCTGGCCATAAAAAAAAGTTATTATTTGCAACCAAAGCAGTTTTAAAAAGTATTGATTGTTGGAGAGCTTAAACCCTGATATCCGATTAAAAGAAGGGACCTCCCTCCGATTGCACGCCCATCACAGATTTATTACCTCACAATCTGGGGATGAGAGTAAACAGGACTTAACTTGTTTTGAACTCTGTCCCCATTTTGGAGTTGGGCCAGCCTAAGCTCCTAATGTCTGCGGAGCAGATTGGCACCCTGGTGGTAGCGAATTGGCACCCTGGTGTCCTGAGTTAAGACCTGAATCAGCTCTGGAACCTATCCTTCTCTGCCAGAAACGAAGGATTAGAGGATGTTGTTGTACTTCTAGTATCCCCCAAATATTCCGTAATGTATGCTGATCTGAAATCTGATCTAGGATCCCGGATCCAGGAGTCTTCCACAGAATGGGAAAGAAACACACCAACAGTGTAGATGACTGTGCTCACAGCAAACATCTGGCCACAGCTGCTTGGAAATGGCACAGTGCTGCTTAAGGTAACTTGAAGTGTTCTTAGACGACACGTTCCCACCATCCATCCACCCTCCGGTGTCTGGGTCTACCTGAAGGACTGGTACAGGCCGTGCCTGTGGACGTGGCTCCAGTCCTGCATGTCGATGCGCAGGCTGTAATGGCCCTGGTTGGACAGCAGGTGGAGATGTTGGTTGCCCATCCAGTGTTCTCCTCGTGGTTCACCGAAGCCATCACGATACTCCGACCAGCCACGGTTAAAGCTCACCGAGCCATCACGCCGGCGCTGGAACACCGTCCACCCCCCACCTGGTGCACACACACACACACACACACACACGTGCTGACACCTGTGTAAAATTGGTATAAAAATATCCACAAGCAAGCCCACTTAGGCTCATGTCACAGTTATATCCAATAATTAGACCTAATTTAGCCAATCAGTCAAGCCCAAGGGTTTAATGAATAAACCACTTCCACATCATTACTTGGAGTGGTTTCTATTTCTAAGTTTACGACGCCAGAGACACTCAAAAACATCAACAAAAAACATCAACAAACAGCTGTTCATGTGTACATCCAGCAGGCACAGAGAAAAATTAGAAATACTCTGGGGTCAGTTTTTGCCTCTTGATATCAATGTTTGTTGTTTCTATTCATTTATTTATTTGTAGTTGTTGGGGACAAATGAGGATAGTGGCAATCTTCCAGAAGAGCTGTATGAGGGCTGAAGATAGTTTCCTTTTCCTCACCAATTTTTCTTTATAGTGCGACCAGAAACAGCAAGTCACAGAAACCCAAACCCAAAGACCCCAACCCCCCCGTTGCTAGTTAGAGTCTCACCTTCTGTCTCCATATCACAGTAGACGGGCAGGCTGGTGCCAGGAAACATAAGAATGGTGTAAACGCCAGAACGGCGAACACCATTGTGGTAGAGAGACGCGCAGTCTGTGGGGCAGAAGGACATGTACCGTCCATCTGAGGGGACAGAAGGCAGACAGGGAGCCAGTCAGTACTCACCGTCTACACCAAAACTGACACATTTGCCTTCAGCCTATGAACTGACTGCAAAAGAAATAAATAAAACATCAACAGGCCGTCTTTGACCTTTAAAAGCAAGAACATTTATCTGACAGGAGATTTCTTAAGGCTGCACAATAAATAATTATCTGACATATTGAAGCCTTGCAGAACATACCCGTACAATGCTTATTAAACCCATGCAGGCTGGGTTATTATCTGTATTTATATCATTGCTAGTTGAGATTTAAATCTGGTTTCTGGTGATTAATTCAGCCAGAAGCAACCAGTTGGCAAAAAAACTGAATAAAGAAGCAACCACTGGCCAAGCCAACTCATTAAGCCACTGAGGTGATCCACCTAGATGCTATAATTGGCACTTTGATTGTTACCTTGTGTGATTAAATGCCTTTAAAGGCCTTGTTTCTTTGGCTCGTATAATTTAAGGTTTAAGGAGGGTTGTGTATGCTTCATATGAGTAGTAGTTTTGAGATTCAGTCAGGCTGTGAAGGGCACGAGGCCACAAGAAAAAGCTCAAATCTGGGTTAGTTCTAAGTGGATTGAGCTACATAGTGGCTATTTAGACTGCGCAGATTGCCTGAGTAGAAACCTTTCAGATTCATGCACATCATGCAACTCACAACTCACCACTGCGCCTGCTGCATGTGTACCTGGTGGCAGAGTGTCTCTCAGGCCGAGGGGGGGCTTAGCTCGGATCACATTGATGGTGCAGTCCATGTTTCGGCTCATGCTCTGCACGGAGGCCGAGAGGTTCCGGAGCTGCGCCTGCAGCTCGTACAGCAGGGCCGCGTGCACGTGGAGCAGCGTGTCGGCTTCGGCGTGGCGCACTTCCAGAAAGCGCAGCCGCTGGTCAATGGTTGTGTTAAAAGTGACGCCGTCTTCATCCTGAGGAACCAAAAGACACAAGAAAGAGGCGTCTTACTTTTGTCAAAGTCGGTGGTTGCTGAATTAAAGGTTCAATCTGTAATATATGGAGACATTTAGAGGTGTGAACTGCAACTGAAAAGCCTTTCAGCTTCCCGGTCTCACAATAAAAGATCAAATAATCACATTCACAAACACTTTTTACCTCTCGGACCTGCTTCAGCTGACTTTTTCATTGTATCTAGTCAAATGCTGGTATCATGTGTTATCCAATGGCAGTTTGTCCCACTCATAGTCCTAGGGACCCTTTGCCCTACATGTTGTAGCTGTTTCCCTTCATCAACACACCTAATTACAATGACTGGATTAACTCATCAACTTCTAATCGAGTTCTACGGAAGCTTATTAAAGACCCATCAATCTGAATCTGAACACATTAAGTTCTTTTGACGACGTTGATGTAAAACTGGCTGCACGCAGACATTATGTTATGTTTGTGTTGTTATGTTAGGACAACATAACGGAGTCACATAATGGTGGGAGCAGTAGGACAACATGTGGTGCTTTTGGACATGAAAAGGTTTAGCCTGATACCTCATTTAAGATTTATCATATTTAAACCAATTCTATGCTAGCTCAAAGGGAAAATTCTGCAATCCAGCCAATAGTTTACCATAATGTTCACTTGCTAATTTTAAGTGAGTCAACTGTAGCCTTTTCTGTCTTTTTAACAGCCTAATTTATCTGTTCTGATATATTTAAGTAAGAGTTCAATCATCACCTTCTAAGAAGACCATGGCAGTGCTAATCAAAGTTGTTCCAGGGATTGATAAACCAGTGACACTAGAAGAGTCATGAAAGGAGCACGTCATCCTAGTCAGACTGTAGGTTTGCAAACTTGATTTAGACTACTGTCGACTTGCAGACTTTGCAGGCCGGAAGGATCCTCTATGGGTCTGTCAGACTCAGAGGGATATAAGCACCGTGGCCAAAAGATCTCCAGATAATCCTGTTAGCATTCAGGGTTAAGGAGGACTTAATGGGTGTCAAGACAGAGAGATAAAGCCAGAACGAAAGATAAACAGAGGCAGAGATTAAATAAAGAGACAGAAAGAAAAGGTTATTGCCACCATACAGGAAATGGCGTTTTTCATTGTTTTTTCTGTTTTCTATTTTATTTTTCCGACGTTTGGCTGAGTAGATGCGCTCATTCGGCTAAAAGACGTACCCAAAATCTTCACCGTTTAATTTTTCTTTACAAAAGTTACCTTCTTTGTACACACTTTTGGACTGTGCAAAGTTCTGTACATTTATCTTTTGGTTTGTTTGAAACAACCATTCTGTCCAGTCCTTTCATCTGACCACTCTCAGATAAATGTGCTCTATTCTTAATCAAGGTACTTCCTAATGGTGATGACAAAATAGGCACCTGATTCAAGGGAAGCAGTTCGGTGTATACACATAACAGATACCTTATCAAAGAACCCATTTCAAAGACACCTGTGCACACATTATTTCCCTCTTTCTTTAGTCTCCCAGTGAAATATTAAATAGTGCAGAAAAGCATGAAATAATTCACAAAGATATCCATGAAGAGATATATGATGAAAACAAACAAAAAAGATGCCTTTCCATCGTGAACAGTAACTGCATCACATCAGTTTATCTATCACTGATGTTCCACATATGAGGGGTGACTGTGAAGTGGTTCCATTGTGAGCTGGAGAACTATTCCTGAAGACTGCTTAAAGAAATTACATGTAAGCTTGTCTAAGAGGGCTCAGGCCGGGCTGAAGAGTTACCTCATTTCCCTTTTCACGCTGGATTGAATAGTAAAAACTGTTTTTTGCATTTTCATTTATGTTTGCAACACCGGGACTGTCTACAAGGAGGAAACGTGTTGTTCTTGGGAAGCTGAGGTCTTGTAATATCTGTGCATTTATCATTATTATTATTATTTATTAGGGCAGAAGAACTACAGTCAGTCACTCAAAGCTATAAAGAAGGCCAGCTTTGGAGACTCTTTCGGGATTAATGTGTGCAAATTTAATTTTTTTGCTCCTTTTTTTTAAAGAATTTGTTTTTTTAAGTGACGTTTTGAAAAAATAATTATGCTCAGTATTGCATTTTCAAAGAAATGCACTGAACCTTCATGGAGTCTACCTGCATCTCCATGGCCCTGACCCGGTGCCTGTGGCTCCTCTGCTCCTCCTGCAGCCCTGACACCGTCTCCCTCAGCTCCTCCAGCTGCTCCTTTCTGTTCTGGTTCTCATGAAGCCAGAAGGAGATGTCGTCCGTGCAGCGGAACATGTCGGGGCAGCGCTTTTCTGTCCCCCCCACCGGGGGCAGCGTCGCCATCAGCCGACACTGGCCACCCTCCGTCAGCTGGCTGCTGTACTGCCCGCACTGGGTGGACGAATTGGCGTGGGTCTGGTTCCAGGTCTGATAGTCAGCATCGGCAGCACCCCCGTTGTGGCTGCTCATCACCAGCGGGGCGTCGGGAGTGAGATCGGAATGTGTTTTTAGGATGGACGTGGAAGGATGCCAGTCAGCGTCCTCGTAGTTGCCATTGTTCATATCTGGTATATTCCAGTCGGTCTCCAGCCTCGTGTCCGGTACAGCCCTGCGCGTCCGGATGTCCGCATCCCAGTCGTCTGCGTTTGGTTCTGCGACACCATCAGAGGGACTGTCTGAGGCCCCAAAGTCACCACAGGCAGATGTGAAACACCAGGCAAAGAGTACAGAGGACAATGCCATAGACTCCCAATTCATTCTAATCATCAAGTAAGTTCTGGCCCCCGCTTGTTCACTTTTATCCAAAGTTCGTCAAAGCCACCGGAGGGTTTAGTTTCAGCAACTGGATCAACATCAGGGAACATCATTATGGCAAAGAGATGAGTTTTTCCCTGAAATTAGGTGGTGTGCAAAGTCTTTGATTTAGGATGGAGACCAACAGATGGAGATCTGGAAAAAAAAGCACAGATGAAGATTGTGGATTTTTTGTAGGAACTGGTATGAAAAACAAGAGACCATGAATCATGATTGCAGAATCTTTCCTTTTTGTATGATCTCTAACAGAACTAAAACTTACCCCGCTCCTCTCATCCTTATCATGTTGGAAGACACACAAGTATCTGAAAGCTATTTTTATTTCTCAGATGGTTAAAATTATTTCAGGGTACATTTTCCATCAATGTGACTATTAACTCATTTTTGGGAGTTGAGGTAGTGGTGCGATATTGAGTGGTGGCTGATGAAATATGAGCCTGATCTTCTTCTTCAAGACAGACCTACGTGTAAATCTTAATTTAATATTTGGGTGTAACACATAATGTGAACACACACACACACACACACACACACACACACGCACACATCAGTCATCTCTAGACTTTAGATATAATCACATCAATGTTCAACAACCGTTTATTTTTTAAAGTCCTGCTGTGACTGTATCGACTGTGCAGTTTATGAAATCTTTCAATTCTATTTTCATAGAAGTATCTATGGAAAATAGACTGATATTCCATAAGACATTTTCTGCAACACACACACATCTTTCAATGTGGTGTAAACTTTAACTCACAGACATATCATGTTCGGTAGACATTTTAAAATGACTCCGATATACCTATGTCAAAATACACATCAATATGTATTAAAACAACTCTGTTGATGGCTGTTAAAGTTTTGTTTCTATTTACAGTCAATTAACATTCAGAGCATGTTCCTACCTGCTGCCATGTCCTAGTGCTGAGTCAAACTCAATGGAAAAAAACATCAGGATAGTCAGGATACTTTGGTGGCTTGTCTGTATGTGTGGGGTCAGCACCATGTGTGACATCTTATCCTGATAATCCTCTTAAGGGATTGGCAGCCATTTGCTTGGAAGGTGACCAAATATATTGGGAAGCAGAGTAATGGAACGACAAGTTACTGTAAAGTAAATGCATTACATCCAGCAAATTACTCCTCACAGTTTGACAAGCATATTTTGAATAAAGATTATTTCATTTCCCTTTTCTTAATAATACATGATTTTATAATCTCTTCTTTTGACAAACTGTGGACAAAAACAGCTATAAAGTTTGCACGGTTTACTATATGATTTGCATGCTTTGCCCAATCACACACCATCATAAAGCAGGTGTGTTAGAAGTACACTAAACAGTGCAAACATGGTGAGACTTTTAGTCCCCTGTGGTTTAGGACAGCAACTGAGATCAACCGTGACAGAGTGAAGTGCAAAACTGAAATTGGTCAAATGGAATTCAAGCTCTTTTGCATGGCACAGATTTGCGTCTAACGTGGGTATAAAATGTTTTTTCAGTCTTAAAGATGATGGGATTTTCTGACTTTTTATGTTTTTTAGTTTCATACGATGCAAAACACAGGCCTGTAACATTTAATCATTCTCTGACTCTGCCATCACATCATGTTAAAAAAAGTAAGCATTGCAGGTGCTTTTAAAATGGCGTTTTGTGGCATTTTCCCGCGGACACATTCTGCAACATGTTGTAAAAGCCTCCTTCTAATATAAAAAGTAGATTGTGATCGTTTGTCATTAAAACTCTTGGAAGAATATGTATGAAAAAGGAGGGGGAAAAAGCTACCGTTTCCAAAACTGCTCCCACAATGTCCCCTATTTAAATCGACCTGACTTCAGTTGCGTCTTTCCATTACTGCTTCGTTTTTCCGGAGATGCACAGAGAGCTCTGCTCCTTGTGTGTAATGGACTGAGTGGAGGCTCAAGGCTGCAGCTAAGCACTAATGTGTTTACGTTTACCTCCTGCAGCTGCTTGTTCCATTAGAGAAAAGGAAGAAAACCTAAAAGTTAGAAAGACCTCCAGTGAAGTGGCGTTTTAGAGTTCCTTTGAAACTCATTCTATTGACATCCAAAGCACATTAGAATTTATTTTCACCACAAAATTGATTGAATTAAAAAAAAAAAAAAAAAGATTTCCAAAAAGTCCCCAGCCTGTAACGACCAGAGAGAAAATTGGCCTCAACTGGCACAAGAAAATATGGCACACTCACAAATATTTGACATGGATGGGAAATGTCATTGTTGTGTTTTTAGGAAAACAACATAATTACATAACTTTTCATGGGATGTTTTAATCATCTTAAGTCCTAAAATTGATCTAAAATGTATTTGATAGTTTTTTATTATTATTTAGAGATGATTAGCATTTTTTCCCCATTTCCAGTTTCTGTGCGGCCTTATAGGGGTCACTGGTCATTAAAGAGGGACCATAAAACACCAGAGAAAACGATATTTAGGTCAGTGCAAATTGTTTAGGTAAAAACACAACACATGGTCAGGCTTGAAAACCCAGTACTTATAGCATCATATCATATCAGCTTAACTCTACCTGAAAACAAAACAATGTTCTGTGTGTGACCCGGTAGCATAATATGCTACTTATTGACACTTTACTTCTTTTGAACATGCCTTTGTAACAAGTCCAAATTTCTTTTGACTCCAAAAAAAATCCAATAGGTATATTTACACATGATCAACCAAAACGAATGAGAACATGAATCTGAAAATGGAGAGCAAGTGCAACACTTTAAATTCACTCAATAATTGCTAAGATTTTGTTGTTTTAAACAAACTGAGTAAGAAAAAAGATGGAAAGTTAGCATAGTTTGGTCAATTCTGAGATTAGTTTTTACCTCAGGGAAAAGTCCCCAAATGTTACTTTCATTCATCTCTCAATCGAAAGGTTGACTTTTATTGTCAGCCATTAAACGAGTAAGAGATGCTATTAGTAAACTATTTTCCAGCATTTGGCTTTCATCATTTTTCCTCCAAACAATTAATTTATCTTCGGATGCAACCGTGTGTGGCTGTGGACATCGTTTCCAGGAATGTTTTTGTGCTCTGAGAACAGCGATGGTAACCTGTACATTAGTGTGTATAATGCATGTTTATGGACATGAATGGGGGATCGGGGAGCAGTTGTGACGTCATTGTCCACTTTTTCTGCGTGTTTGTGTCCTTGGCTGCCTGTGTATAAAGTCAATCGATCGGCTGGAGGGACTCAAGTGTAGACCAAGCATCAGAAATCTTTGTTGGGAGGACATAGCAGAGTCAGCCAGAGACATGGCTGGTAAGTATTTTTTTTACTTTCTTTATTTTTCCATTCAAATTACAATAATTTTCAAAGTTTCAGAATAACTATGGGTTCCAAAATACGCATCAACTGATGTGTTTTTTTACACAGACTACAACAGTTGTTCTGAAAAAGAGCAACACAAAAAAAACCCTGAATTATTGCACAGAACGGCAGAAAGTTGATTAAAAATGTATTTTGATCAGCAAAAACTAAAATCTCAATCAACACATCGCAGGGCAATTGAAGACATTTTGAAATGTTTTTAACGTGTCCAATTTATTGCCTTTCATCAACAGCATTTCTGCAACACAAATGAAAACACGAATTATTTGAATTCTTGGTTATGTGTTGGTGAAACAAAAGATTGGATAGGATGACTGTCACAGTGATTGTGTTACCATTGAATTAGAATTAATACGACAAAGAAAAAACAGAGAGAGGGTAACTTAAATGCCTTCAGTAGAAAATGTTTTATTTCTAGAACAATCTCATACTTATCATTCAGTTTACCTTTGTCTCCATTATCTAAGTGAAATTAAATAAGTTTAATTGGTAAAAAATGTAAAGCTTTCCTACAGAAAATGTAGATCTAAACTTGTCATTTTCCAATATTGACATGGAATATTTTAGGATACTTAATCTTAGCTTTGTTTTTAAGGAGAAACTGAATTTAACATTTTTGATTTATGTTTAAAGACTGTGTTACACAGTTGTACACTATGCAATCAAAATACTTGAACATTTGTCTCTGTGCGTGAAATAAAATCATCAGATTTTAATAGGCACGGCATTAATTTATATTGACATTATTTACAACAGATTACATACAGATTTCATGTACAGATACAGATTAACTGAAACAAGTCGAACAAAAACAGCAAAAGTAATTGGAGGTTTGAATCTTCTGACTCTGCAGCAGATCACTGGAGGATGCATCCTGTCTCGCTGTGGGTGGCAGCTGCCGTGGTGGGTGTGCTCAGAGGAGCAGCCAGCGAGTGCTGGGAGCACCCAAGCTGCCAGGACCTCAACTCTAAGAGCAGATTGATGGTAAAAAAAAATAAAAAAGAATCTACAGACATGTGCACACCTGAACAAACTGGTGTCTGATCCACCATTCAAAAGCCTGCCTCTTTAACATTCAGGCCTGGTTTAGATTTCACAGTCAGCACCAGAAAATATATTGTGTGCAGAGTATTAATTCATGTACAATTACTGAAATTTCTCCTTCTTCGCCATTCAGGGGAGATGTTTCTTCAGAAATATTCGGTTTAGTTCAGATTGGTGATTTGCATGAAAATATCACAATTTACATTGCTTTGCCAATATTTCTACAACATGTTTCTGATGGTTCTTTTCTACTTTTAAAATCGTGGGTTTGCAGATGCAGCCCCATTTGAAGCGTAGGTCGTTTTTGTTCTTGAAATGGTCTGTTTTAGCACCTGTTCTACTCCAGGTAATGTTGCATAGCGACCTGCTCAGTATGAGACCCCCTGAACACATGGTTGCATTTATGTGAATTCTATCCTTGGTAACATTGTCATGTCTGCTCTGGATAATGTGGTAAACTAAACAAACACTGAGTTGAGATGTGATTTTTTGTGAACACATTCTGCTGAAAAAAACCCCAAACAAACCGCCCAGTCTTCTTTGCTTGCCAATAGGAATGCATCCAGCTCTGTGGATCGGACTCGTCCATCATTCCCAACGACATCCACCCCAGGCATCCTCCTTCATCAGACCCTCTGTCCGCTTCCCCCTATTCCTCTGTCTCCTCCTCACCCGAGGCCAGGCGCTCCTACTCCATGGAGCATTTCCGCTGGGGGAAACCTGTCGGGCGAAAGCGCCGCCCCATCAAAATCTACACCACCAACAGCGTGGAGGAGTCAGCCGAGCTTTTCCCGGGAGGGGTCGTGAGGCGGGAGCTTTCTAGAGAGATGTCAAGAGCTAAAGATGAGGATGACAACGAAGCAAGGGAGGAGATGGAAACAAGGCTGGGCCATGTTCAGGAGAAAACGAATGGCACGTACAAGATGAAGCACTTCCGCTGGGGCGGCCCGGCCGAAGGCAAACGCTACGGCGGCTTCATGAAGAGTTCAAGCGAGCGCAGCCAGAGGCCACTGCTCACACTCTTCAAAAACGTCATCAGCAAAGTGGCACCAGTGGAGAAATGAGATCGGCGAGGAGAGGAGATGTTCAAGGAAGAAGAGATAGAAAATGAGTAGAAGGCAAAAACCACATAAGCTTTTAATTGTGCAACAAGTCCAGATGAATAAGCATTGCATGGGCTATGAATTGACCCATGACTGATTTCTAATCTGATTTCTATCCATAACATAAACATACCATTGTGTTTTTGTTGTCTAGATTCAGTTAAAAACTTTTAGGCTGTATTATTATATATTTCCCAAATACTTGGAGTGTGACAGCAGACTTTTAGATGTATTCATTTCATTGTAATGCGTACATAGCTATGTGAAAGATTGTAGTTTAGATCAAATTATGGCTTTTTAGTGGTAGATAGCTGGGTAGTTAGTTAATTAATAAAGTAGGTCATATTTCCCTGGAGTTTTTTGTCTAGTTGCTTATTGAAAAAAACTTTCAGTAGTTAAAAAAAATACATAATTACGCATAGTCTATTGATTGGAAAATGCAAATCAATATAAAAATCAAAACAGATATTGGTTATTTTCTGACAAAGCCTTGATTAATCCTTTATTGGGCACAAAAAGAGAAACATAAGCAGACCTGATCATCCATTTGAGAAAAGCCAGGCAGCAAAAAGAGCTCTTGATTATGGAACAAGAAAAAACATTACATTTCAGCTTATTCTGGGACATAAAATGACTATCGAAAAGTAATTTAATTTTTTAGTAAATTAACTGAATGTCTAAATGTTCAAGGCACTTTTTTTTTTTTTAATGAGGCTTTACCATTGATTAAATCCAGTGCAGTCAGAAGGCAATGAGAGTACATGATAATGTAACGATGTGTGGGTCTTTACTGTGACGATACAATGTTCCAGACATGTGGGCAAGCA